CTCTCACTCTGCTGCCCTGGCTAGAGTGAGTGTCGTGGTGTCAGCATCTCACAGCAACCTCAAACTCCTGGGCTTAAGCAATCCTTCTGCCTCAGCCTCCCGAGTAGCTGAGACTACGGGCATGCGCCACCATGCCCGGCTAATTTTTTCTATGTATTTTTAGTTGTCCGATTAATTTCTTTCTATTTTTAGTAGAGACGGGGTCTCGCTCTTGCTCAGGCTGGTCTCGAACTCCTGAGCTCAAACAATCCTCCCGCCTCGGCCTGCCAAAGTGCTAGGATTACAGGCGTGAGCCACCGCGCCCGGCCTCTTTTTTAAATTTTTATTTAAAAATAAAAAATGTATATATTGATGGTGTGCAGCATGTTTTAATATATGTATACATTGTAGAATGGCTAAATCAAGTTAATTAGCATATGCATCACCTCACATGCTTTTTTGTGTGGTTTGATGAAGTCAAATTTATTAACTTTTTCTTTTATAGTTAGTGATTTCTGTAATCTAAGAAATATTTGCCTACCCCAAGGTTGCAAAGATTATCTCCAATGTCTTCTTCTAAGAGTTGCACAGTAAATTTTGAGTAATTTTGTTATATATTGTAAGCGTCAGGTTTTTTTTCAAAAAAAAGAAAAGAAATTTTTTTCTCCCAAAATCCATGGAATTTTTGAAGGAGAAAGAATCTGGAGACAGCAATGGGAAGCACTTGCCTGACCTCACGGCCCTGACATATATGAAGCATTGTATGTCATGTAATGACAGACACTCGGAAGAGCAAAAATTTCAATTAAAGCAACAGAAACATCTAAGAATATAGCGGTGCTTGCTGAATCCAGGTGGTTCCAGGGTACACAGTCAAAGGGTTCAAGGGGGCAAGGAGGGGACCACTGGGCTAAATTAGGGGCTACAGGGAGCAGTGGTATGCAGGTAGGGTATTCACAGGGGTTACTATATTTTCTGAAAGTTATGTTAAATACTTAGCATTGAAAGCGAGATATGTATTTATGGATAAATTAGTTTTTAAAAAATCTAAATAGTTAACATTTGAAGTACCATAATCTATAGCATTTGCAAATTAGCGTAAGGGATGTTAGATATTTTTCACTGATGAAATGAGGGGTATTCGAGATATGTGGATGGGTTTGAAAACTGTGCTGGCACTTTCCTTTGTGAACAGAGAGCAGCTGATGTAACAAGGTGACCTTTGAACCTCCATTTCCTTATCTGTAAAATGAGGAGAATAATATCTATCTCCTAAGAGAAGTTGAGAGAAACGATGAGACACACCCACCTCTGGGCCTGGCACACATATTTATTTGTTCCTTTTCCTTCTACCACTTTCTTTATCATAATACTTTGACCTCCATAATTTGTCACTTACCACGTACTCTTTCGTGTCTTCATCTCAACTCTTTTGCTAGACGCAGTCTTCAAGCTTAACTAATGCTGGCCTCCCTCTGAAAAGCCCATGGCAAAGTTTATCAAATCTTAGTGTACCTAATCACCTGGGATGCTTTTTAAAAAATGCAGATTCCAAGGCTCTACCTCAAAAGACTGTGATTCCGTATGTCTGCCTGGGTGTGGTCCAGGAACCTGCAGTATCTCAAGAATCCCCAGCTATGTTGTATTAGGTGGTCAAGAACCACACTCAGAGAAATCTGGGATCCAAGAAAAACTTGTTTCAGGAGTCCTGCAGCTGCATTTTCTTCAAATCTGGTTTGAGACCCAAACGAAGACAGGTGACCTAGTCCCACACGGAGCCTTGGACTGAGCTGACTCAGAAACCTGAAGCAAGCTCATCACACATGCTACTCATTTCTGTTCTTCTTAATGATGTGAAAATATCATTTTTGCTGGTCCAGTATCCATCTCCCCTTTCATTAGTAACCCCCTGGATTTTCCCTACACCTATTCCAAGGGTTATTTAAGCAAGACTAATCCCTCCCCCACCACCCCAAGTAAATGAAGGCCAGCCTCTGGGGCATTTACTAGAACAAGGGAGAGGGATGCTCTTCCTGCAGAGATGCTAAACTAGTAGGGACCTAAGCCTGGAGCTGCCTGGGCCAGTCTTATAGAGAGCTTACCTGAGAATGAAACAACAGAGATGGTGCCCTTGTGACACCTTCAGGCCCCTGAGGTTCCTGAATTAGTAATATGAATTACTAATTCTCTTTTTGATCTAAGTCAGTTTGATCCAGAATTTCTACTTGCAATTGAGAGTTCTGACTAATACACGGAGCCAACCCTTCAAACGAAGGCCTTTCCGTCACCCCCTCTCTCCTCCTGTTGCCCCTACATTTCTCTGCACAAACAGATTCTCCCTGTTTGGGCTGTCCCAAACAATTCCCCTGTACCTCACTCCCCTCATAGAATGTCACCACCTTGCCACAACTGAAATCCTAAGGGTTCGGTTTCCCACATTCCTGTAGGCAGGGGGACCTTGCTCCTTAGGACCAGGTTCAGCCCACCTATTTTGTGGGGAAAAAGCCCTTTTCCTTGGAGACTTTGTTATAGAGCTCACTGTTCATTACTACTGTCGTGATTACTTAATTCACTTAAGACTGACACCTGTTTTACAGTCTCTCTTTCCACGCTAGATTTCACCATTCCATTTAATAGACTGTAATCGTAGTTCATGCAGCATTCGCTATGCACGAGGCACGATTCTAAGCACTTTACATATATTTTAGCTCACTTAACCCTTATAATAGCAAAAGCTATTATTATCCCCATTTCACAGATGAGGAAACTGAGGCACAGAAAGGCTATGTAGACTTACCTAGAGTTACCCAGCTTTGAAGTGGTAGAGTGGGGATGAGAATGAGGGAGTCTAATTGCAGAGTCTAGACTCTTAACACATACTCTGGCCTCCCAGTTCCTTATAATTGTACCATCCTCCACATCTACTCTGTATTGGTCCTGCGGAGGTGGGAGGGAGTCTGTACCTCCTCGAGTCACTGGCCATTTGGAAAGTCCTTGGACAGAAGAAGTCGGCTGAGGATGGCGTGCACTGCCCCTTCCTACAGCTCAATGACCTGCTGTCATCTCCCAAACAAATTCACCAAGACACACATAAGCCAGGAAGCTGGGCTGCAGCTGGACTGAAGACCCAGCAGCAGAAAATCAGGTTGTAGATTCTGTTCTGGGTGCTCCGTGAGGCTCCTCTCTGCCCCAATATCCTTCCTCTCTTTGGGAAGGTTGCTGCATTCAAGGCAGTCCCTCCTCCTTGGGTCTAGGGCTGTCCTTAGAACGTGTCCTTTGTTTATATCCTTATCCATCACCTGTGCTCCTCAGCCCTCTAGAAACTTTGCAAGATAGGTTCCAAACATTTGGTTTTTCTCCCTCTCTGTTTGAAAGAGCAGGAAGAAAGAAGCCAGGGGGTCTAGGGGGAAGCCAGGCAGCAGTTTCACCACCCCGCCGCCAATCACACCTAGATGTAGCTTCATTAAGAACTGCTCAGGCCGGGCGCGGTGGCTCACGCCTGTAATCCTAGCACTCTGGGAGGCCGAGGCGGGTGGATTGTTTGAGCTCAGGAGTTCGAAACCAGCCTGAGCAAGAGCGAGACCCATCTCTACTAAAAATAGAAAGAAATTAACCAGACAACTAAAAAATATATAGAAAAAATTAGCCGGGCATGGTGGCGCATGCCTGTAGTCCCAGCTGCTCAGGAGACTGAGGCAGAAGGATCACTTGAGCCCAGGAGTTTGAGGTTGCTGTGAGCTAGGCTGATGCCATGGCACTCACTCTAGCCCGGGCAAAAGAGTGAGACTCTGTCTCAAAAAAAAAAAAAAAAAAAAAAGAACTGCTCAGCTCTGAAAATGCTGATTTGGGACCCTTCCTCCCAACCTTCTGTCTCATTCCTCTCTCCAGCTCAACAGCTTCTCCACCTCCACTTACAGCTGCTGGCTGACAGGCCCTCCCACAATGCCAGCTGACATACCTTCCACAATCCCAGTCCTGCCAGACCTAACCTGTAACATGCATCCCGGGATCAATACTAACTCCAACTTCCCTGTTTCAGGAGTCTGCCTCTGGTAGAAAAAACTCACGCAAAATGCGTGCTCCGATGCCACTGCAAATACTGCATGCATAAGATGGCCAAGCCCAGCCAGGCCCCGCAAGACACCAAGCAAGCCTAATTAGTACTCAGGACAGCTACTATGTACCAAGCACTGTCCTAAGCATTTCAACCCTCAAAACACCACCGCCATGAGATAGAGACCATCACGAGTCCTATCTTGCCAAAGGGAAAACTGAGACCCGGGAGGTCAGGACCTGCGTAACTAAGTTGCAGAGCTCTGCAGAGCTCACTCTGGCGGCACTGACATCTCTCACGCCGCTGTCTGCCCGTCAAGAGCCCAGCCAGTCCACCGGCCGTCTCTACCGCTCTAGACAGCTTTGTCACACGGGAGCAGAGGGTTCATTAGTGAAAGTGAAAGAACAGGAGGGAGGGAAAAGAGCAGAGAACCGTCGCGGTAAATTCCGGAAAGGAGGCGAGGGCGCACACACAGAGATACTTCCTAGTCATCGTTATTCAGCACTTTGTGGGGTTCAAGAGGCTGGGGGCCGGGGCGTGGCGGGCCTTTTCGAGGAATCCCGCAGCCCTGTTTGGGCGGTCCTAGGACTGTCCCTGGGCGCATTTGATTAAGGCCTGGCTGACGCATTCCCAAGTGGACCGGGAAGGGCCCTCTGGCCCTGTGGCTCTGGGGGTGGTAATCCGCCTCCCCGCCTCCCCACCCGTGAATGTGCCCTTTAGGTCACTCCATCACCACTTCCACCTGGGGTACGGGCAGGGGGTGCCCTGCGCTTCAGGGCTGAGGGTACGAGCCCCTGGGGCTCCGCCGGGCGCTTGCGCCAGCCCCGTCCTCCGCCAGCAGCCCCAGCCCCGCCCCCGCCAGTGGCCCGGCCCCTTCCCGGCTCGGCAGCTCCGGGGGCGGAGCCAGGCCGGGACTACTCGGCGGGCGCGGGAGGCCGGAGCGGGCGCGTCCCCGCCACACGCACGCTGCGCGCAGCCGCACGCCCCGCCCCGTCCCGTCGCTATAAAGGGAAGGCGGGCTGCGCGCTCTCCCCTAAACTCGATTTGCCGACTTGGATCCATTTCCATCGGTTCTTAGAGTGGCTCGTGAGCCCCCCAACAGTGAAGATGGTGAAACAGATAGAGAGCAAGGTATGCGCTCCCGGGGAAGGCCAAGTCGCAACGCGCAGGCCCCGTGGCAGGGAAGGCGATGGGCGGGAGGTGGAGAGGCCACCCCTCCTTATCCCTGGGGGAAGGGGACGCGGCGTCTCGGCCTGGGATTGAGAGAAGCCGGGGCCTGGGCGCGCCCGAGACGATCGAGCATGCTTTGGGGGAGGGGAGCAGAGGGACGAGGGTCCCCTGCAGAGCGGAGTTGGAGTGCCCAGCGCTGCCCCGCGCCCTGTGCGCTCGGGAGATGCACGCGTGCAGGGAGCGCCCGGGGGTTCCCACACTGCGCCTCCTGCACCCTCCTGTCCTGGTAACCCCAATTCGGGGAAGCGAGGGGATGGAGGGGGTCTGCCCTTGGCCATCTCTGTATCCGGATTCGGGCCCAGGCGAGGAGATGAAGGGCCCCTTGCAGAAGGCACGGGATCGCTGTCCGCCACTCCCTCTCCCTTTGCGACGTGATCCACCCACATTGGGTGGGGGTGAACCCCCTCGGGAGCGGGTCTAGGCCGGAGACCCCCGGCTGCCTCCATCACAGCCCAGCCCCGAAGATGACGCGTACTGTATCCGCGCAAACGGGGCGGATCCAGGCTGGAGACCCTCGTGTGAGGGTCCGGCCCGGAGGCCAGAAGGGCCCCAGGTGGCCTCAAGGAAGTGAGGTCCGGGTCGCGCCCACAGGACTCCTCCTCCTGCGGCGCAGGGCGTGTTTCCGGCAGCTCTGGCTTTGGAATGACTCAGTCCCCAAGGTTGGGCCCAGGGACCTGAACTGCCCTACCTATCTGTGATTCACTCACAGTCGGTGCGTTTTGCTGGAGCCAGGATCCTCCCCAGTCCCCCGGGAGCAGCCGCGCCCAGCTGTTGGGGCCTTCAGTTACCCTGATCGTCGTTCCGTCCATTTAAAAATGCCCAAGGCAAAAAAGCGTTTCGATATTCGAAAGTTACTGAAAGCCTTAAAACCTTCCAGACTGGGAACCCCAGAGCCTAACATGCAGTGTCTGGTACACTATAGCTACTCGAGACATGTTTGTTAAATGCAGAGTCAGAAAGTGAGTGGGGGGGATATTGATGCTGCTCGAACGAGGGGAAGACCCCTCGCTAGCGTTTACCCTGCGATGCCCCCCACCCCCACCCCTGGAAAGCAGGAGAAGGCGGGTCCTCACCCGCCAGGAGCACCCGGACCTGTGAAGTGCTGGGTGAGCTTCACATACGGAATTTCTCTGTAGTGGTCCCTGATCCTTTTGTTCCTTTGATTATTATTGACTCCCAACATTTTCCCCTCATATGTTGGTTGTCATCGTCTTTTATCTTCTTGTCCTTAATCAGTTTTTTCTTATTGGAATCCCCCTTTTTTTTTTTAATTGGGTGAGCTTTTCTATTAAAATTAGCAGCCCTCTCATTTGTTAAAAAGAGAGTTTTGTTCCAGATACTTTTTTTCAAGACCTATTGTGTGACAAATTATTGGTCTGTGCCTGGGGCTGGAGGCTCGGAGCTGGGGTTCTGGTCTCCAGGTTTGGCAACCTCATCAGTATAAATGAACAGCTAAGAACCCATTAAAGAAGGCAGAAGACCTTCTGGTGGTCTATGTTGTCTTAGAATCCATACGATGCAAACAGAGTTGATTAGGTATACAGGGTGACAGGAAATAATTAATATTCAAAATTGTGATCCAAAGTCATTAACAGAAAGTTGCACTAATTTGATTGTTATTTGTAAATACTGAATAAGCCTTAAATTTTCATTATGATGTGCTAAATTATTGCCATTGGCTGTCCAGAACAACTCTTTCTGAGGTACTCTGTTGTCAATTTAGGGCCACTGGGATCTGTTTCAGACATAAATGCAATAATGGACTATAAAGGTGATGAAGAAATCAACACAGTTTTGGGTTGTTTTTTTTTTTTTAAGAACGACTGCCACCATTTATTGAACTCCCATGCACAAGGCACTTTGCTAAATGCTTTAGAAACCACACATGCTTGTTACCTTTGGGGTAGGTGTCTTTAAGAAAAGAGATCTTAGACCCTGCTGTTATTTACCTACCCCAACTACATTGTTTTGTTTCCAGATTATTTGTGTCAGTCATGGGAACACTCATTAATCGTGATTTATTAATCCTAATTGTTAGTTTTTGGGCACTTGGAATTGTGATTTGCTTCTTAGCAACATTATCTTGAATAATTTTCAAGCCGATACCTGTTTTAGGCAAACTTAAGTATCAGAAGAAGAGAATTTGTACGTGAAGTCTGCACATACCTGGCTCTGTAACTAGTGTTCGCTTAAGTCAAAAGTTATTGTGACATATCTCTTTTCAGAATTTTAGGTAGTTTTGCTTGAATTTGATTCAGAACTGTTTTGGGAAAGCCTTGAGAGTGTTTGAAATACATTCCTTCTCGAAAGTAATCTCATCAAGTTTTTACTGAGGGTCAACCATGTTCAAAAAAAGAATGTGTCCATCCAGCCAGGACATTGGCATTTCTTGACCTTTTTTCTCTGTTTTACAACATGGATCTTGCATTAAAGACTGGCTGGTTTGACCTGAAAAATCACAGTAGGAAAGGCTTTGAATGAAAGTGATCTGGAACAATCAGTGATGGTTTGGAGGAATAGTTTCTGTATTTCTAACTTACTCTCTGCTGCACACCCCCTCAACATGTCCACACCCAAAGGTGGGGTTGATGGATCTGCAGTTAATAAAGTTGCCAAAGTTGTGTCATACTATTCTCAGGAACACCATTTGTGAATTGTTTCCCCAAAAACATGAGGAAGAAAATAGAAATTTAGAGAAGTAGCTGTACCACTTGAGAATTCACATTCATTTTAGTTGTTGGGGGGTTTTGTTTGGATTTTTACCTTATGGTGTTTTATTTATTCACTTTCCTTCTTTATTGGACCAAATCTAATGCTTCTTAACTTGTGGGGGAGGAGAATGTTTTTTGATTCAACCAATTTGACCAGCATTTTTCCCTTGAATAAAACCTAGATTTCAGATACAGATGTTTGTGTTTTTTGATTTATCTTCGTTGCTCTGGTTTTGGTTTGGGTCAGTCACTAACTGACTAATTGTGGTTAAAATAAGTCCTTTATAACTAGAATGTAAGGTTCCTAGGGTTACAATATCAACACCATTGGTAAATAATTCAGGGAGGTTGGTGGTAAGGGATTTCTTGGTCGTTTCTGCTGGGAATTTTATTTAACATGCATTCCTTATGCAAAATAATATCTAAAGAAAATGTCCTTCACGAGGAACTAAAACTATGGTTCATTTACGGAGCAGTGAGGGTGTAGTTTTAAGATAAAGGGCAAAAATCAAAGGTTGATAAACAGTGTGACCTCAACTCTGGAAACCCCATAAAAAAAGCACAAGAAAATGTGCTTATGTCAACAGTGATTGTCTTGAGTGTTGGGGTTTGGGGAGAGGTTAGTTTCCTAGACTTTAAGTAACTTGTAACATTTCAATTGTGAAATCCTGTGCCTTTGTGACTTGTTCAATTGAAGTGACCTCTTTCATCAGTCCATAAGCATTTAGTGAATGTCTACCATATACCTAGATTTGACGTGGATACAGTTTTAATAGAAATACCTATTTTTTTGATTCACAATATTTTATAAAATATTTGTAAAGACTTGAATATTTATTCTACACCTTACATCATGTTTCATCTTACTAAGTAACGGTACCAACAGTGTGTAGGATTCCTTCAAACCTAGTTTATTTGGCTTGTTTTGGGATTTGGGGTTTTTTTCTTAAAAAGTAGGTCCTGAAAACAAGACCTCCAAAAGTTATGTCTTTGTGTCACCAAGTCTCCAAGGCTTTTGGAAATGAAACTATTTCACATGAGCTTTTCTTTTGCCCTTCTTAGGTTGCTTTTCAGGAAGCCTTGGATGCTGCTGGAGATAAACTTGTAGTAGTTGACTTCTCCGCCACGTGGTGTGGGCCTTGCAAAATGATCAAGCCTTTCTTTCATGTGAGTATCATACAACTTCTACTTTTTTACGAAATTTGTGTTTTGGGGTTGGTGACAGAGTTAGGAGTGAAGGACAGTTAAAGGGCTTTGTTTTGGGGTTTTTTTAGCTGGATCTTTAGTCTAAAAGTAGTATAACAACTTAAATAATTTAAATTTGATTCATGTAGCCCATTGAAGACAACTTTCAGAGGTTAATTTCTTAAATGGTTTTGCTTTTTTTCAAGTTGAAACATGGGCTGCCTTTGAAATTTCGGCCTTAAAGTTAATGTACCAAATTATTTTACACTAGAAGAATTTGATTCAGAGAAAACATATGTCCCTGTGCTTCCCTAGTCCCTCGTCTAAATTTTTGGATCTTTAATTAGTCTCTACTTCTATTAAGTTTCCATTTAAGAAGCTTCAGTAGGTTGACTACCTAG